GCCGTATCCACCGTCCCTACGCCGGTGCCGTCAGCCTAGGCCAGAGAATGGAAACAAACTGCACATGAATTAGAGATTTGGAAATTGTAGGGATAGGACTAGTTTTTGAAAATTAGATATAATTAAGGGAGCAGTTATTGATTCCCAATCTTATTTTTCCATAGAAGGAACGCTATCTTTCAGCCCTTTCAAGTTGAACTTTAGTCTTATCTGCTTGTTCAAAGCCTGCCTACTTTTGATGACATGAGATAATAGGCATAATAGCCTGAATACCATAATTATCAAAATTGGAATTGTTAGCAGCTAGAGATAAGTCAATGGCATCTACTATGAATTAATGAGAGAATAAAACCTTAATTGAGAATCATGAGAAGCAGTACTAGTTGAAGGATCGGCAGCAATTTGTATGTGCTGAGAAGTGTGTTTATTAACAAAAAAAGATTCTGCTCTGTCTGATTGTCCCGCAGTATTGTTTGGAATATTATATGTATTCTTATAAGATGATTGAATGGTGTTGCCCGTTCGCCTTTTGTCCTTGCCTGTAAATTAAGAATTTTGAAATATATTGGTTGATAGGTTAGATTTGTAAACCAATAAAAATAAGTTGATAGTTGCACAATTATGTTATGTGCAATCCACCTCATCGTGTTCGGATTCGCACCTCATCGAGTTCGAATTTGCATATTAAAAATAACATTTTACAGACTGCACCATATTGTTATACAAGTTGCACTTTAGTGCACGTGATATTGCACTTTATCCTAAACAGTGCATTTGCGAAAATAGTATGTTATGTGCAATGCGACTCATCGCGTTCGGATTGCACATTAAAAATAGTATTATACAGACTGCACCATATTGTTATACAAGTTACACTTTAGTGCACATGCTATTGCACTTTATCCCAAACAGTGCATTTGAAATAACAGTATGTTATGTGCAATGCACCTCATCGCGTTTGGATTACACATTAAAAATAACATAATACAGACTGCACTATATTGTTATACAAGTTGCACTTTAGTGCATGTGCTATTGCACTTTATTCCAAACAACTCGTTTTTGGTAACAGTATAAAATGGACCATAGCTTTC